GTGTTAGCGACCACACATGTGGAGTTTCAGCAACAACCACCTGTCGTCAATGCTTTGCATTCATACATGGTGTCCCAAAGGCAACCCTTAAAGCAGTTTACACTTATTAGATAATATTCAAACCTTTATTTAATTATTATATTAAGGTCTATACAGTTATGTATGCAGTAATTTATTTTTTTAAAAGGAAATGGGAAAATATTGCATCAGTTTCATCTTTTATTTTTAATTATAAAAAACAATTACAAAAAGTGCATACGTATGGATATAGCTAATTATAATATATATGATTAGGACCGTTACTAAAATGTATGAAGTACCTACAATTTAATTTGATAGATATTTGTTATTAAGATATAAACTGAATAATTTAAGAGAAGTAGGTAAAGATATATTATCAAATAACGCAAAAAAATAAGTATCTATAAATAAATCAAACATTCACCGAAATGTGTCCATTGTGTATATTTCGATTCTCTTTGATGTTGTAGAACATCAAATATTTATTTGTTTAAAAATATTGTTCCATAAAGAAATAAGCAATGCTATTTATTATAAAACAATGGCTGGAGTTTGGGAAACCAAATGCCTCCCATTGGCTTCAAATTTTTACTGGTAACTCAAACCGGAAGATGTGAAAAATGATTTTTCCAATTCTTTCGTAATATTTTAAACATGTAACTTAGTTATTTATTCAAATTATCCATCACTAAATGAATAGCACCTCCCCCCTCAAGCAAAACTTCGGCTACAGGTTGGCTAAAGATAATGTTGATGACTTGAACAGGTTAATAAATTCCCGAAAAAAAGGGTAGATTTTCTTTGTGGTTCACATTGCTGTGCACAAAAGGAATATGCACTTCGTCTGTGTCGTCTTTTATAGTTGTAACCTTATGATCCTACTCAATCAAAGCATTGTTCTGTATGTCCTGTAAGGTTGGGCTGGGTCAGGTTTGATAGGAAAAGACAACACCCACTTGAATGAATTCTAACTATTACGAAGGAATTAGAAAACAAATTGCATACTGTTTTTGGAAGTGTACCTAATTGAAAATTTTTGTGAAATTTCAAATCGAGGGTTGAAATTTTTGAAATTCCAGCCAAAATGGTTAAAGACCCATTTTTGCAGTTTATATAAATGTATGTCAAATTTAAATCAGCACCGCTAAGTTACATGTCCGAGATATTGAAAAATTTACAAATATGTGAAGAACGATCTTGAAATTTGAAGTTGAAGTAAAATAAACAAAAGCGTTTTCAATGTCATTTAGTAAATACCCAAACGTGTAGTCGTGCTCGTACTAGGGGTTGAATTTGGGAGACCATGCTTATACGGTTCCAGTTGTCAACTTACCCTTCGTGCTAGATCGTGCAATCCGATTCGTCGGTAAAAACGAAATTGACACAACTACACGCGGAAAAGCGATCCCCAGAAAATGCACCGAATGTGAATGTGCGCTATATTGGGGCGTGATATTTAACGAAAATTACTTCGACCGCGGAAATTTGTGTTCTTCGAGAAAAAAGTCGCTGACAGCGTCGACCGACTGCTCTTCGCCTCGGTTCGACCAATACTGCTTTCAACCTCCGAACAGCAAGTTGACTTTCCTGACGGACGGAATGTCGGCAAAATGTGCGTGCCGTGTTTAGGACTTGGTGAACGGCTTCGTGGACGCCGTATTATTACATCCAATCGTTGTCACGGCAACCAGGTTCGTTCGAGGTGGCTTTTTGACGCGCAAAACATACACACACGCAAACATTTGACACTCACGCACGCAACAATTTTCGTATTACGATTAACGTCTTCGATAAGACGCACCATTGATTTTGGGCTTTGGTTTGTAACCCCTTTCTTGACGGGGTATACTTTTTTTGCGTCGTATCTTTCTAGTTAAATCACGATAGTGTCGACCGAAGAAAAAAATAACAGCTGTTTATGTTATTAAAATGCACAGGCTAACAAATATTATATTTAATATTTAATAACCACCTAAAATCATTAATCAACAACATAAGCAGGTATACAAAGAAATATAAAATAATAACAGGCACATTTATTACATTTGTGATATTCAATGTCATTAGCAAATGTTTACGTACTTCACCACTCATAAAAAAAACTCTTCGGTCAAGAAATCACATTTTTTTAATATTCTAGAATACGAGGTCTGTTCAAAAAGTAACGCGAATTTTGAATTTCAGCGGGTTACGTATATTCGATTTTCGATTTTTTTGTGGCGTTATGTTGGTATTCATGTTTCTTACTTATAATACCGACAAGTTCGGCCATGTTGAATGTTCAGTTAATTTTTTTTTGCCTACTCCAAAAAATTGATCAAAGAATTTGCTTCAAATTTTGTGTGAAAAACAAAATTAAGTGTGCGGACACATTCCGAATGTCGACTGTGGCATATGGTAAAACTGTCTTGGACCGAAGCAACGTTTATCGGTGGTACAAAATGTTCTCAGAGGGCCGAGAGAAGATGCGAACGACGAAGAGCGTGCCGGACGCCCTAGTGTTTCAACAGACGACATTGATGAAGTGAAGAAAATAGTACCTACTGGTCAATCGTCAAACTACCGTTAGAGAAGTTGCTTAGGACATATAAACATATCGATTAGCCTGTCCTGGAAGGAGGAGAGTTCAATAGAAACCGACATATTGGGGCTGTCAGTAGACAAATGAAGGAGAAAAACTCTTGTTTAATAGGGGGGGCTAAATATGAAAGTTTTAAATAAAGGAAATGCCCTAACCTTTCGAAAGAAAATTATCTCATTTATTGTGGACATCACCTTTCACAGTCCATTTCTTGGCAACAAAAGGCAGTAACAAAGAACACAAAATTTTCTAGATACAACATTCTGGAATCTTTCTAGAACAAGTGGAGTCTATAATTGGTTGCCGCAAGTTCGGAAATCAGTTAGTTAGTTCGACTTTCAGCAATGAGGCAATACAAAGCGAAATAAGAAGAGTGAAGAAACGATAAAGTGTGTAATATACATGTTAGTAAGATAGAAATTAATTAATAATAGTGGTGATAATTAGATGTACGTGACATTATTATGAATATAAGGGAAATGATACCAGGCAAGGGTGGCTGGAACTTTAAAAAAGGAGATATCGATACTTTACAGAAAGTTTTCATGCCACCCTCTTTAAAACACCTTACACCAGGAGAATATGGAATTATGGAATAGTGGCAAATAAGCTACGGGTAAATAAAACAGCACAATTAGAATAAGAAGAACTAGTAAAACATCTGGAGAAGAAGAAGAAGAATAGTCTTTGTTTGACAGGTAGTACTTAAGGTATTAAGCAAAGCATACATTCCCGAATAATAATACGATTAATAAAAGAATACCTCTGTAGAAGATATATTTTAACTCTCTATAAAATGATTAAAGTTGGAAGAGAAGTTCCACAGGGAACCGATGCTGTGGAACATAGCCAATGACAAAATCGCCACATCGTGTATTTGCAGATGATTTGGCAGTGGTGGCGGAAGGAAGAAATAAAACGGAGCTGGAAAAGAATGTAAGGAGGGCTGCAAAAGAAATAGATGGTTAGAGAGTGTAGAGCACAGAGTTAGTTAGTGAAAAATTTAAACTTAATATAAACTAAAATGTAATTTGAAATCAGGATGCAGTAAAGCATCTGGGATATGGATAAGAAAAGACATGAGATGAAGTATCTATGGCAAAAAGACATTGGAAGAAGGACGAATGGTAGTCAGTGCACTAAAGAAACTCATGCTAAGAAGATAGTCGAGGAAGGGCGGATGGTCGACAAACGTCTAGAGAAACGCATGCCAGTAGTCCTGATTATATAAAGAAACAATTTCAGTATTGCATTCAGTAGACGCTTATTCGGTCCCAGACTGGTTATTTACCTGCGATTTCGATATATTCAATAGTCTCTCGATAAAGATTTACGAGGACGGCTTGGTCGAAATTTCTTACTGCGGCTATTTTATGGAAAGCATTGGTAGTCATTCGATATTATGCTCAAGCAAAATAATTTCTAAATTTCCTTGCTTAACAATGAATTAATTAACATAAGATTTATTGGATAAAATACAAAAGTTAAAATTCTAAATTAATTTGTTTCCCTTTTAGTAACTTTCTAAAAGGCTGTCAACCATGAAGACTACCCGCAAAAGGTGATGCCGCAGAGGGTGTGTCAGCCTAGCCAAAGCGGTGGGTTTTTAATGCTAGGTCAGAATTATAGCCACTTCTTACATTCCAATTGTAAGTCCTTCAAGTTCTGTAATTCCCTTGAATCCTACAGATAAATAATTTTTATCTTCTTACACTTACATCAAACTAACTTCGGTAGCGGGGATTATAGTCGAATAAATACATAAACTTATATGTTTCAATAATGATTTTTATTGATGATGTACACTTAAAGAAAATTGATACAAACAAAGAGAAATGGAAAATAAAAGTAATAAAAATCGTTCAATATACAAAGGATAAAAACTAATTTAATTTGCTAGACTCTCAATTCCCACACAAGAAAACACGACCTTCGCACTCGAGTTATTGGAAAGTATGGTTGAAAAGCAGCGGTCCGCCAAAACTCCATACACCGTTAACTATCTAACATCCACCAAGTGTGGACTACCTTTGTCTGCTCACATCACCAAATATATATCTGTTGAGTCGTATTATTCATTTGATTATTGGTATATTTTTCGACATTTATTTTTATAGTCCTAGTGGAATAGTCATTTTATTGTTATTGCAGTATTTTCAATTNTCAAATGACATCGACACCATAAGAAGCGAGATATTAGCGAAAAATCGATTTTAGTGACCTTTGACCTTGAATATCTTAAGACGCGGACACGAGATTTTATGTGACTTTAACACAACATTTAGAATGCCAAAATAAAGATTTATATAAGTTTACAGCTTATTATCTCTCATTCCGAGGTGAAACCCCTAATATGGCTGGGCTAAAAGGTTATTATAAAGGAGTTGGAAAAAGAAAGTTGTGGGGCAGGATAAAGTTGTAGAGCGCATTAAAAAAATACAGGGCGTCAATTGAACCACTGATTTTTGTATAAAAATTGATCACGAATCTTGAATGACTCCATAAAGACCTTAGCAACCACATGAGGTGAATAAAAAACACACGGACAACCCAAATATGAGGCAATATAGACAGTGTTCCGTTTAAGGAAAAATAATTTTGGTTCTTGTCTAACTTATACAATACCCAGTATACTAAGAAATAATTTTAGTTTGTCTTACTCACTAGACCCCATATCTTTTGTATTACCTATATAATAATCTAGGTTTTAATTGTATTTGAACCAACTAGAGCCAAAGGGTTTACGTGAACACAGACGTTGTCTTATTGCCTTTAACTATCAGCTGTTTACATGTGCCTATTTCTTTCTCCAATATTTCCCCGATTTATTAAACGTGAGCCTGTGCCGTAAACAGGAAACTAAAATACTAAAATAAAATATAGAGTTCTGTGTGGTATTCACATCTACAGCTTACATCCTATGCACAATTATTCTTTAACTTTACTATGATGCGAAATTAAAGCAGAAAAGAAAACCATTTTTCTTTACAAAAAGCGGGAATTATTGCAAGCCTCTGTGGTCGTACGTATCAGCTATTAAATCGGTTCTCAAAGTTGCTATACACTCTTGTAAAATCAATATATTTAAATGTTCAGTTTATTCTTCAACTTACACAATACATACATAAGTTATCGTAGTAACTAAAGAAGATATCTATCAACATCATTATAGAGCCGTCGATCGGCTGAACACGCAGCTCCACTCGCTTATTTCCTGAATCAATTTTCGCATTTCCCTAAAACGGGAATCCACATTCTTAACATCTTTCAAAAACAAAGCTAGACCTATTTTATCAATAGATATAAGAAATATACCTACCCATTGAACTTGATTAAAACTACGATCAAGTAAATACTCTCATTTCTTCTACAAACTGTAGAGAAAGGACCTTTCTAGCGACGCCTCAAGGAGTATTTTCTTTCAGGAAACGTTTGGTGTTGAATAAGAATCGGTAATCAATAAAAGAAATTCCAAATGGTTTTGGGTCTGCAAAGTCTTAATCAAGGTTTGTTGTAATACGGGTTTGTAGTTAATTACTTTAATATTGATTAATAATTAGCGCAAATATGGCATAAAGCCACTAATAATTTTTAAATGACTAGTAAATCGAATTTTGTACAACTATATAAGAACAACCAACGAAGTATTCTGTTTGTGGCCATGCAAAAGTTATACCACTTTAATTAGGAAATTTCGCATTTAATTCACATTAATTAACAATAGCAGTTTATATCTGTGTATATTAATCTATATAAACAAAAATAAACGGCTAAATGTGTTGCTAAGCACAAAACTCGAGAACGGCTGGACCAATTTTGATAATTTTTTTTAAATATTCCTTGAAGTCCGAGGAATATTCTTATGACGAGGAAAATTGGAAACATTGTCCAGAAAATGTAAAAACCTCACTTTTCTTTTCCCATACAAACCACAGAGTAAATTCAAAACAAAACAAAAG